GAAATGTGCATCTACAGAAGGATGCTGAGAATACTATGAACTAAGTAAGAAAAAACTGAAAATAAAAACGGGACTTACTCAGAATCAGAAGGAGACTGCCAAAATCTTCTCAAACATGAGGAAGAAAGAAGCCTCAGAGACTTTTGACAATCGGAGATACCGAAGACAGAAGATACAGAAGAAGTCAGCGAACTCTATATTTGTGTCAATTCTTTGACTGAACGGTCCAACAATGCGGCGTAGAAAGTATTGCAAAAAACAAACAAACGTTACAAAAAGCTACAAAGGACAGGACGTCATTGAGAGCCTTGATCGCCTTCATCCTGCAGAAACATGACAAATGGAAGAAGAACAATTCAGAATGAAACACATTTCAGTAATTTTAATCTGTAAGATGAGTTTGTTAATCATTTCCTTACTTAATCATTTCCACATATACACCAACTCGCTTTATGGCATACGTGATATCATGTTGAAACCCAGGTTCTCCTACGATCACCGATCCTTATCAGTATCAAGATAGGTGACTCTTTGAAAATACCGGGTAGTGGCAGCTTGCATGTGAAGTAATGGATAACAGCTTGGAATTGAATCTCTTCTCTCCGAGTTCCAATTCCTGTTGGGTTCGTTATATTCACTTACGCGCAAAGAGCCGTGGAAAAGGAAAAGATCCACCTCTTCTACGGCTATATTACTTGTATCAGTAAATCATTGTTATATTCAAATAATTCTTGCAATAAAAAAATCATTGTTATATTCAAATAATTCTTGCAATAAAAGAAAAACAAAATATCTGGCTTTAAATAACCTGCAACGATAACACATGCTGAAATATATAACTTCTACTACAAAACGGCAAAATTTATTCAATCACATCAAGATTTTCCAGACCCTAAATTCTCATTATATTCTTTAGAGGATTTTCAAAATGAGACTTTCCGAAAAAAAATCAAAGGGAAAATGAAATACAAAACGATGTTAAAAAAGAAAAGGCTATAGTGATGTACGGCAAGAATTATGGATATGTTTTGTTAGTAACAAAGACTATATTTTATTAATCAGTTACGAAAAAGGTATATATATATATAACAGAGTTTCAATAGTATCTTCAGAGTTGTTGAAAAGTATTGCTTTTACGTGACAAGAAGGTTTCGCTTCAGTGTCCAAAATGTAACTGTTACAAAATCTGTAGAATTTGTCACAGCCAACCTGTCAAAATCAAATTGATCAATCAAGTAAGCTTTATGTGGGCTGTTAAGCAATAATTAATTTCTTGAAAATAGTTTGAATTAAATGTACATATGTTTAGGTTTTCGTGCTAAAAGAATGTAAATGCGTTTTTTCCCGGTCTTTGGTAAATGAAAACAAAATATTAAAACTAATAGGCTACTAAGTCGCTTTAATCTGTTTAACAGAGAAATATGACTCATGACAAAATATCAAAGTAAATGAGACAATCTGGGATTAGACATATAAGTATGACATAAACAATTAAGAAATAATTTTCTTTATATTTTGAGGAGTTTATATCAAAATATTACATCTTCATTTTGCCTTTGTCTAAAATCACTCTGTAAAACCTATTTGTGTAAATCTTCTGACGCGAAATGTTTACTTCTACGCAAAAATAGACACAAAAGCCTCTGGCCTATATATATATATATATATATATATATATATATATATATATATATATATATATATATATATATATATATATATATATATATATGTGTGTGTATATATATATATATATATATATATATATATATATATATATATATACATACATATATATATATATAAATATATATATATATATAGATAATATTAGTAGAAAATATACATACAATTTTTTTTTTTTTTTCCTTCGTCCCATCTCTCTCCCCACCTCTTTTCTTTCCCCCTACTTCCTATCCTAACTTCTAATTGTCTGTGATGTATGTATGTTACCATGAAATGTATCTTTATGCATTAGACATCCGTCGACTTTTCTTTCTCTCTTTTTTAAATTCCCCCATCCCACCTCACCCACCCCACCCACATCTCCTAGAATTTCTCTGTCCCTCCTCCTCATACTTACTCTTTCTCTAAATTCGTTTTTGATTTCCGGAGTTGTTTTTTTCTGTTTTCATTTTGAATTTGTAGGTCTGATGATTTGGATCGTATTTACGATTCCAATGGAATAAATTATGACCATGGAATATTAGTGTTTAAGCCTTTTTTATATATATATATATATATATATATATATATATATATATATATATATATATATATATATATATATATATATATATGTATGTATGTATGTATATATACCTCCGGCCTGATACATTAGGCGTCATGTATCGAAAGATACATGACATGACAGCCTAGTCAGTCATGTATCTTTCGATGCATGACTGAAGAGGCAGATTTTTTTTCTCGCAGTATGTTAACCATTTCTTTCTGCAGTAAACCAATTGTCGGACTGTCCAGCTATTTACCCATAGGAGATGGGGAGAAGACGAGGATTCATACATTACCCAAAAGTATTAGAACGACTAGAATTCGATTCCTCAATCTGATCCGCTATCCATAAATCCATTGTGCCTTTTAAATAAGTAATTAAAATGTATTAATAAATAAATAAATAAATAAATTAGGAAATGTATTAACTACTACAAATTTTTAATTATCTATTTATATATTTATTAGTTTAAATGTTATTTTTTGAAAGATTAATATTCACATTTGAGTAGATGGTCCGTTTTTTTTTAAATAAATATAGTGTATAATGTTTAAATAAAAAAAATAACAGACCATCTACCCAAATGTGAATACTCTTTTTTTTTAAATAATGTTCAAACAAGTAAATATAAATCAGTCATAGTTAATCTATTTATATATATATATATATATATATATATATATATATATATATATATATATATATATATATATATATATATATCTCTTGTATTTTTTTATTTGCGTTTTTAAACGGTTGTATAAATGAAATTGATTTAATGTCTGCAGAATTATAAAACATTCATTTTCATTCTTTAATGTATGCACACGAGTTGCACAAGAAGAAGAATAAGATATGTTTCGAAAACCATCATGAAACCTACGCATATATTAAGTATTGATCCACGTCCTTCTTTCTTCAACTAAGAAATCACCATCATTGTAATAACTATATTCATGTATTATTTTTTCCTGTTCTTTATATTTTTTCTGTGTTAATAAAATTGGAAAAGTTAATTTGCACACGGCTTTAATCCTCGAAGATATATGATTTGGAGCTACTTGAGCCACGGAGCCTTTAACCAATAAAAAAAACAAACCAACAATTTGGGCTAAAACGAGGCTAAATTTACATCTAACATAATTACAACTTTCAAGCTTATACAGCCATCGATACAGTAAATGCAGTGACATATTCTTTTCAGCATCAAGTTGAAAGCCAGTACTTTGATTGTAAAAAATTTTACAGAACTAATTTTTACAAGTAAAAAAAACCAAAATCTTACTAATTTTACTTTGATTGACTTCGTTTTCACAAAGCAGTCTAAAAAATCTGAACGACTGTACAGAATCCGTCGTCTACTGAATACGATGTTGATTTGGAATATTAACTTCTTTGTTGTTGTTCGTTTTCACAAAGCAGAAAAATGACTAATCAGTGGTGTCGTGAAGGCAGACTGAATACAAACAGGGGAAAATGTCGTTTTAAAATAATATATTTTCTATCAAAGAATTAGTTAAAATAAATGCCGTTTCAAGAAATCCCTTTTTTATTTACATTTTTAAGAAAATATTATGTACGCTAACTGGGAATGATTCTGTTTGCCCAAAACATTTTTTTGCATAATGTTATGATATATCAGTTCAAATATAAAAAGAAAAGATAAATGCGTCCTAAAGAGAGATAAAATGTATATTTTCGTCAAAAGGATGTCCTTTTAAATTTGTATATTTGTATGCTCATGGGATAATGTATAACTTGATATGATTTAATTTCTTTGTATTGAATTTTAAAGATTTTGTCTTTTTTTTATATATACGTCTGGGTGTTGATGTTATTTCGACGAAGTAATGTCTAACATAAAGTCTGTAACTTGATGGATTATACGTGGACAATTGTCACGGAAATCTCGCATTTGACTGAATCATGGATGTGATAATTTATGGTTTTTATTTTTTTTTATTGTCTGATGAACTCTCACACCGGCTGTAGTTGTTTTCTGTTTTAAAATAGGATTCCTTCAATTTGATTGGTTTCAAAATAGTTTTGAATTTGAGTGTTGTGATTGGATAAATTCTTCCGTTTTGTAGTAGAAGTTGTATTATATATTTGAGTATGTGTTATTTGGCGCAATTTATTTAGAGACGAAATGTCTTTGTTTGCCAAGAACGCAAAGTTAGTTTGGCTGTGACAAATCCTACGGATTTTGTCACAGTTACATTTTGGACACTGAAGTGTCAACTTCTTGTTGTCACTTAAAAACGATTCTTTTCAAAACCCACACATATAGAAGTCCCTCTGTTGATACTATTGAAACTTTGTTATACTATACATACGTTTTATCTACATGATTTGCATTATATCATATGATCCTTGTCAGTAACAAAAAATGTCCGCAGTTTTTGGGCTACATTACTATAGCCTTTTCTTTTTCACCATCTTTTTCTATTTCATTGTCCCCTTGATTTTTTTCTGCATATCTCCTTTAAAGAATATAATGGGAAACGATGGTCTGGAGAATATGATACTCACAGGTCAAAGGGAAAGAGAGATAAGGGAAAGCATCGCATGACATGCCTGGCGGGCGTTAGCAAGTGGATGACATAGCGTGGTCTGAGGGATGTGGCAGAAGGGTTTGACATATTGAGAGCTACAAGGGATAAGGAAAGTGGAGAGACATGATCGTCTACGTACTGAATGACACGGCACATAGAAAGAAAACAAAGATAGTTCAATTTTCTTTGATGCGTACACGTATGTTTACACGTTCAAACACCGGTTCTCGCACGAACACAGACGTTAAGCAACGTCAAGCCTGGTCAGTATGTAGACGAGTGACCGCTTGGGAATAACAGGTACTGTAAGGTTGGATGTGCGGTTAGTGTAATGGATAATGACTCGGAATTGTTAATCAGAGGGCTGAGTTTCAATTTCAGCTGGGTTCGTTATATTCACTTACGCGCAAATACCATTGGGAAGGTATAAATCCGCCGCTTCCCCCGTAGCTATGGGTTAATTAGTAAGACTTGTTTCACAAAAATTATTATCACAAGAAAAAAATTGTATTCAAAATATTTAGAATTCGCGATAAAATAACCAATAGATTTTAAAAATCCACAAAAAAAAACAAAAACAAAAACAGTGTACAACCATCTTGATCGACGTGCTCCCCCCTCCTTGGAGGGGGGTGTACCCGGTTTATTTATCATCTCTCAGTTGCGTCTCTGTCCTTGGACAGAGTGCGCTCAGGGGCTTCTCTGTCTGAGGACAGAGGGGCAACTGAGGAAAATTATACTGAAGAGGTGCTCAGCCCTGGGGAACAGCTGTAAGAGGCCGCGCCCTCCCATTGCACAAGAGGGATGGATCGATGCTCGCACCGAGGCCAGCGCAACCGACGTTTGCGGGGGTGAGGAAAATTTTTGTCCCTGCCCGAGTGTACGCGCTCGGGTCCCCACATTAATCCGACCTTGTGTCACATCTCATTCTCGTATGGGAATGAGTACATACCAGTGTACAACCATCTTTCTTTAAGCTGTAGTTTGAATACGACCGTTGATTGCTGTTTATTTATTTTATCATATATTTTTCTGGAATCATCTGCACACACCTTGTATTTTTGCTTATTATTTACGCCTCATTTTAATTATGTGCATTTTCAGGCAGGTGTTTTGGAACCTTTAATCATATATCTCCACACACTGATCATAAGGGTAGGGTACTCTATCTAAAATTGTTCGATTAAATTATTTCTCTGTGTATACAAATCGGTGCGTTTTGTAAGCCAAAATGTCTGCCAGAAAAATGCAATAAAGGTAGCTGAGGAAGAGAACATAAATTAAGTGCGTGCATATTTCTATCAAAATTACTCTGTGTTAGTATTTATGGTGCATTCTGACTGATGTACGTGTAAAATGCTTTAGCGTCAGAAAAAAAAATTGTGTATGTGAATGCATGTGCTAGCACCTGCCTCTCCTACTAAATGCATGGACAAAATCCAGACATTGATGGATGTGTTGCTTTTGTTTGGCTATATCGTGCCTTGTACCAATTCCCAGAACGAGGCCAGCCTGCACGGGCGACATCCTTTCCACGAAACAGTAGATGAATTATGTATAGCGCAGATATGAATGAATTTGCATACGGTACTCTCCGATGGCACACGTGAGAAAAATCGTCCACTTGATTGAGGAGGCGCTGACTTTCAAGGTTCTCGGGTTTTGGTCGATAAGCTTTCTTACGATTTTAGCCATTGATATGACCAGTTTGAGTTAGATTCATTCTTTCCGTTTCTTTCTTTCGTATCTTACCGCAGAAATTGAATCAGGCAATGCAAAGAGATAAAATCCACGGACATTTATCTAAATACGTTTCTTTTGTTAAATGTAATACTTATGTTGCCATATTTTTAAATGTTCGTGTTTGATGTCGCTATCCACTGTCTTTTCTACAAATATTTTCATTGCAACTTCTCTAACGATATTTTTTTTCCCTGGTGTCCGAACTACATACGTTCAAGTGTGCTACTAGATTGTCATTTAGGTCCCATCCGTTTACTGTTGAATTAGTTAAATATAACCAATACTTCTACACTAAAAATTTCTTTTCGCACAATTCCCGCCTGTGGAAATCTCTTCCATTTCCTTGCTTCCCTGATATCTGCAATCTTCAGAATTTTAAATACAACCTCAATCGTCATATTATATCTTCATGAACCCCATTCAGCTGTTATCGTTTTATCGGTCTCTATACTAAGTCTTTTCTGTCACATTCACTCTCTGTAATCTCTGTAACCAGTGGCATTGCCGCCTTGCTTGGGGTGAAATGTTTAAAAAAAAAACTCTTTCGTTCTCTATATTTCAAAGATTTTCCCTTATTGATACCTACATTTTTCCGAAATTTTGACATCAAGAATTCTCATTATTAGATATTTTACCTCTCTGTCCAGCATGTTCACTTTAGTTACTGTATCCACAACGTTTCAGCCGTCATACATTCCCATTTTGTCAAGTATCTGTCTTCGTAATCGGTTAAATGTTTGGTATTTAGTATCAGAATTGAATCCACTTCGGCTAGTAGGTTTAAACGTATTTTAGAACATGCCTTGGTATTGAAAAAAATGTGAGTTCGAGCCTTAGGTCATCTAGTTCGAAAGATTGATTGATTCGTTTTTTTGCGGTTTATCAACCCTTTGAAAGTTATTCCAAACCAGAAAAGATTTTTAGATTGTAAGACATTTTTAGATAATAATTTTTTAGTGATACATTTAT